GAGTTTCTCTAAGTAGCTACCCAGAGCCTACACCGATGTATGAGCCTGCTCGACACTCCACAGGGGAATGGATGTAACCATGTAAGTATGTACTCATTAGCATTTCATGTGTATTATAAGACCTTAATATTATGTAAAAATGTGTTTATTTCATAAAAATTAAGTGTTTGAAACTAATTTAAGTGACTTTCGCCTCAAGTCAAGCCTTTTTTTCCCTCAAATTTAAATTTATTCTTGTATAAATTGATGTTAACCTAATAAATATGTTGAATTAATAAATTATTTAGCATATCTTTATAAATTAATGGATTGTATTTGTGTTTCTATGCGTTTCCATATTTTTTCTGCGTTTCTATTGCGTTTCTGAAATGTTTCCGAAACGTTTCTATTTTTGAGTTGACCGAAACGGTACTTCGAAACGAAATTTTGATCCTTGAGTGGAGCATGGACCAGTTTTGTGCTGAAGTGCATGGCCTAAAAATAAATAGCACGAAGTTTCATTGCACTTTTATACTTGGAATGGCTTATAATCTCATTATTTAACATGCTTATCTTCTTTCCCATTCTCGTGCAAGCAATTAGTGGAAAGAGCAAATCATGGAGTGATATGTACGAGTGTTTCTAGGCTGGAAATGCATGAGATCTGTTAATCCAAACATCTTAATTGGATTTGTTAGAACTTTTTTATTTTCATTGCGAATAGAACTTCCATGCTATCTGTTTAAGATTAATTTTTTCTGGCCGATGAGCACAGATGAAGCATGTCGCAGATGATTCCACGACATTTTGGGCAATAGGTGCTGAATCCAGTGCTATATCCAAGCATGCTGAATTTTGTGGAAAAGAAGTTGAAATGACAGTTCCTTTCGAGGGAGTTAATTCAGGGGAGGTATGATCTACTGTGACCTTGATGAACAAGACATTTGGGATTTGTGTTCGGTCACCTTTTTGTGAGAATGAGCAGTAACTTATGCCCCACTCTATTTGCTTATGCTGATCGTCCAATTGCTTGTTTTCTGTTACCTTCCAAGTTTATAGTTTGATTCAAGTGGATGGCCCATCATGAGTGGCCAACTCTGAGACAGTTATAAATTATGTGGTTACGTCTGTCTCTATCAGTTTAAAACTTCAAGCTTTGAAAGTGTTGCCCTTAATTTTTTTATGCAGCAGATAGATCCTGTTTGTGATTTTTGACACCTCCCTCATGCCCACTCATGTCAGCGAATCTGGTTAGACAAGAGGAGGCTCGGTGATGAATCCGATGCCTTCCTAACAATTTAAGCTTTTAGAGAAACTGGTTTTTGACATACCTGCTTACCAACATTAAGTGACCACATATCAAATGATAATTACTAATTTACTATACTGGTGCTTTGTCACAATTTTGACTGTATTTGTACACCACAAGTTATGTGCTCATGTCCCGCTGGCTTCGTACAAGATTCCAATTATAGAATTCTGAATGTATAACAATGTCAGATACTTTTTTTGTTCCATTGCAATTAGTTTGGAAATAGAAGTAAAATAATATCATCCAATTTTCACTATTAGAAGTAGTGTTGTTTTATTGATATTTTCCCTGTGTGAATGCATTTTGCAGTTGATTGTGAAACTTGTCTTGAAAGAGTGGCAGTTTTCTGATGGATCGCATAGCTTAAGCAAATTCCATCTCAGTTCTCGACAATCACTGTCTGGGTCATCAAATTTTCTGTCAAGGACTGGAAGAAAAATTTATATTACTGTTGTCGAAGGAATGGACCTTATTATGAAAGACAGATTTGGGAAATCTGAACCCTATGTTAAACTGCAGTATGGGAAGGTATACTTTTCTCTTCAAAATCAGAAACATTTCAAATTTCTGTCTGTACCTTTCGGTCTTCCTTTTCTCACCAATGCCTTTATGAATAAGTCAAACAGGGTCACAAATGCTGTATCTGTTGATCTTAGAAGTACGAATGTACTTACTTTGTGCAAAACTTCTTTCCAGATTATCCAAAGAACTAGGACTGTTTCACAAGCTTCAAATCCTTTCTGGAATCAGAAATTCGAATTTGACGAGATAGGAGGTGGTGAATATCTTAAGATAAAATGCTCCCTTGAAGAAACCTTTGGAGAAGAAAGCATTGGAACTGCACGAGTAAATTTGGAAGGACTCATAGATCAAGCAATAAGGGATGTATGGGTCCCCCTTGAAAAAGTGAATTCAGGTGAACTGCGACTTCAAATAGAAGCAGTGAGAATTGATGATTATGAAGGTTCCAAGGTACATTACTCTTAAATTTAATCATTTTGCCAATGATTTAACTATGAAAAATAGAAAATCTAAAGAAGAGGTGAATGAGAAATGTAGGCTAAAACAGTTTCCCTGAAGGGTACATTATTTCTGTCCCCGTGCTTGGGTAGAAAGTGGGCCATAGCACTTGAAAGGCTCACCCAAAGTAAAGGCTAGCGTAGAAGTTTAGGTTATTCATTAAGGAGTTGACATAAGTAAATGATTTGCTTGTAAGGGGCTCATTACATTTTATTCGCTGGGTTCTAGATTTGATATTAATTGGGTTCCCACCTTTGAAAACTAATATCATTTCAAAATTATATTACCAGTGTTTCCTCTCTTGTTCTGGTTCTTTAAAATGTTGGAACAGGACTTTATCTGGCCTTAGTTTTGGATGTTGAAGCTCTAGACCAAGCAAGCCTGCACTTGGGTCAATGACAAATATGTTATACACTGTAATGGCTGACCCATGCCAATCAGAACCTTCCCCTGTCCAGATTATTCACCCTTAAGATATGTTTATGTGTGCGCTCACCCAATGTGAAGTCAGTCAATGATTCTCAAGCTCTTGACTGTGAACTTAAATAAAGGCTGCCCAGTCTGTTACCACTTATGCTGAGTCCACTCTCAGGTGTGAACTTTTCTACTTGGTAATGGGCAGGGTTCACATGGAGGTTCAGGCACTGGTTGGGTTGAACTTGTTCTTATTGAAGCCAAAGACCTTGTTGCTGCTGATCTCAGAGGTACAAGTGATCCATATGTGAGAGTACATTACGGGAACTTGAAGAGAAGCACTAAGGTTAGCAGAACCAGAATTGTAAATAAAAATAATGGTTCTACACAAGGCATAATCATTGCATTTCGCCCTTCCCTGTAGTCTATCTATACAGCAGTCTCATCATCCATTATTTGTACATTAATATAATTGGTGTCATACTAACCCTATTCAACTCTCTTGTATTCATGATAATTTCCTCTATGAATCCTAATTTTCCATTGTCAGATGTCCCTCTTCCCCTGTGCTTTTATTTTTATCTCCGGCCCTCTGCCCTTTTCGAAGTAAGTTGCCTAGAGCATTTTATGTGTCCTGGAGCATGGGTTCCAACACACTGTCATTGAATATGTGGCACATGTTAATAGTGCAGCACCTACGGAGGCAATGTTAATAAGTTATAGGTGCAAAAATCCATTTCAGCTTCATGACGTTCAACCATCGGATCTCAATACCTAATTCCAAAATATTTCTTGTGGTAAATGAAGTGGTCTCAAAAAGACTTAATGGTGTCGGAGTTTTAGATATTATCTGATCACCTTAATTTGTATGTCTGAAACTGATGCATTGGGAGTTTTTTTACATGGTTTGATCTCTAGGGTGCTTATATTGTTTGTGTTAGCATTCTAACACTAGTCTCTGTGGTTGATGTGCTTCATCATGCAAGATTATTGCAAATAAAATTTCTCTTACCTGATGTCATAGCTTTGTAACCAAACTGAGCTATTGCCACTTTTGGAACTATAAGAACCAGAAACCCTATCCAAGCACTATGACATACCAAATATCCGAGAATATACCTTTGTGATTTCAAATTCCAGTCCATGTATAGTTGAGATCTTGAGCTGCTGACTTCAGCTTCCTTCTTCATTCCAAGTGTAGGGGGGACTTGCCACACCCTGGCATTACTTAAAATACAACTTGGGCTAAATCAGTTACATGAAATGTGATGATGCAATGGGTGTCAGGATTCAAAACTTTTTGTTTGTCACTAAACTTTGATAGAATTCTATATGCATGAACATTTATACTGGGCAACCCATTAGTACAGATTTTGATAAACCCAATGACCAATATGTACCCACTATACCAAAAGTTGAAGTATTCCATATACTCACTCCAGTTATAGCTAACGATTAAGGGTGTTATATGCATAAGTGGGGTAGGCAAGGTTTCCCATTGTCTTTTGATATTGCTATTAAATATTACGCTACTTCAGTCTCTTACTTGCATTACCATGTTTTTCCCTGCAGGTTATGTATAGAACGCTGACTCCACAATGGAATCAGACCTTAGAATTCCCTGATGATGGCAGTCCTTTACTATTGCATGTGAAAGACCATAATGCTCTGTTACCCAAATCAAGCATAGGAGATTGCGTTGTAGAATATCATAGATTGCCACCAAACCAGATGTCTGACAAGTGGATACCCCTGCAAGGAGTCAAAAGGGGAGAGATTCATATCCAAATTACTAGAAAAGTTCCAGAACTACTGAAGAGGTCCAGTTTGGACTCTGAACCATCATCAGCTAAAGCACGCCATATTTCAAGTCAGGTGAGGATGACTACAGGCCTTGGAAGTCCTTTCATGTGCTATTTTTTTTAAAAAAAAATCAGTTTTCATGTGCTATTTGGTTCGATACCTGACTCTATAAAATTCTGAAACACAAAAGCACTTCGAAGATATTCCTGACACTTTTAAAGCACCGATAACTAAAGCTATCTTATGGAATTCTCACTATGCTGCATGCATTTTCTGTCGGGTGATCAGACTAGTTCTAAATCAATGTTCTTTTCTTTCTTTCTTCTCCTTCCACTTTTCTTCACTAATAATTCCTGTCCAATAGTTGGGATTTCCTCAATGGACTTGCCAATCTAACTTTTCCTAAATTATTGTTCAAAAATTATCCACACCTATAAGTATATGGGATCGCATTCACAATTACGTCCTAAGACTGATCATGTTGTTGTTCAATCAGGCTAATAAAATAGGCCATTCTTTTTTTTCTTTGATTCGTCCTATCCTAGCATCTATGATTTAGGGCAGTACTTTCATCCACCATTTACTTCAGACCGCATTGTCTCACACATTTTGTTCTATATCTATCGTGATCAGATGAAGCAAATGATGATCAAGCTTCAGTCTTCAATCGAGGATGGAAAACTTGAAGGACTCTCGGCATCTTTCAGTGAGTTGGAAAGCCTCCATGACATGCAAGAAGAGTACATGGTGCAGCTTCAGACTGAGCAGATGCTTCTATTGAATAAGATCAATGAGCTTGGCCTGGAAATTATGAATTTATCACCTTCCCTGAGCAGAAAATCTTCCAGTAGCTGATCGCTTAGTACCAATGTCATCATGGTCACCTTTTTCTCTCCCAACTGCATTTTACTTGTGTGAATGCCATTAGATGCGGAAAGGAAAATAGTTCAGAAATTAAGAGCCCTCAAGCTGTTCAGTTATATCATGTATATCGATTTATATGTCGATAGCAACATATGAAAAAATAGATCTTTTTATCTCAAAAATTTCATGCCTATTAGGATTGCACGTTTGGATTTTATTTAGATGTGTAAACCACTGTGCATGTAATTAATCTTTTACCTGTTTAACCACTACCCAAAGATGATCAACAGGAAACGAAAAAAAGGTGCAGGTCTGAATAGAAATTTTGGATTTACTAAATTATATAAATCGAGACGAGAAAGTGATATGGAAAACATTCAGTGCTGAACCATCCTCTATGAGAGAGAAAACTGGCCTCTGAAAGAACGTGAAATGGTAGCTGCAAACATTGGCCAAAGAAAATTTTATTTACCATCAGCTGATCTATTTATTTTGTTGGTCTTGACCACTAAAGAGCATGGTAAGAATATAAACTCTTTAGGACATCAGAAAATGGTAGAAGTGTTGTAAATATTATAGTTAGGGAGCGAGTCCATAACCTATACAATTAGTGTACCTAAGTAAATTAGTATTAATGAGGGACTCTATAACTCCACAATTTGAATGCCCAAAGTTAATTTTGTAATTGATGACTATTATGGTTGGAGGCCTGTAAAAAGAGGTCTTAACCTTAATGAGGGATATTAGCTTGAAAGATAAAGTATCTACTCTTCTATATCTCTTGTTCTTCACAATCTCTGTATTTTTCTTAGTTTTACATGTTTTTCTAAAGTTGTACTACACATTAGTAGGAGACTACCACTATTGCTCTTTCTCACATAAAAGGTGATCCCATTTTAAAATCATAAAGAGGGGTTTGATCAAGTGTAAGCTAATCAAGGAAGAGTCAATGTTGGGTGAGCCAGATTCAGACAAAGAGCTGTCCAGACATGACAGTGGACTGAGAGATGGTGGAGACCTATGAAGCACGGATATTTCGTTGAAGTTGATGTATTCGTATCGGATACGATACTTGTCGGATATTCGAAGATACGTATCAGATACACCTTCTACGTATCTGATAATAATTAAACATTAGGATACTTCACGGATACTATGTAGTAGAACAACATATATAATATTTTAGTTGAACTTTTAACATCTCTTTTCGAATTCACATACCATACAATACATTAACAAAAATTTCATATTACTTAAAAGGCACATGAGTTTTTTTTAAGTATTATCTACAATTTCATGTCCAAAGATTATATAGTAAAGTTATTACATTATAATCTTGACAAAAACTACTTCTAAATATTAGGTAAATGTTAGTTTTGATTCCTTTAATTAGTCATTTCACTTTGTGAATATACTACAATGACACGACATATATTTTCTTGAAACTAAAAAGAATTACTAATTTTCCTTATTATATGTTAAAGAACTACCAAAATATATGAGTGTAAGTTAGTTGAAAATAATAAAAATATTTTATTGTAGTCATATCCTGGCCGTACTTGTATCCTACTTTTTTAGACTTTATCGTATTATCGTATCCGTATTGTATCGTACCTGTATACCGTATGCGTATTCGTGCTTCATAGGTGGAGACAGTGAAGATGATGAAGCCATTTGAGCTGTTTAGAGACTTTAGTTTATGCCATATGAGATTTTGAGTGTTTATTATTCATTATGGTTTGTAATAAATATTTTATTTTTTTTTCTTGTTGACTTTTCTACTTTATTGTCTTTTTATTTGTTTGCTCAATTTTTGTTTATTGTGACAATACTTTTGGTCTTATTTATTGATGTTTTATCATATTTGACTTTGAGGTATATGTGTTGTTTATCCTTTACTTACTTTACATGCATGATTTACCTTGTATGGGTTTATACCTTCTTGTTATACCATGATTTTATACTACACTTGTTATAGGTGGTCATTTGATTGATATTTGTAACAAATAAGGAAATAATATGTTGGGTAACTTGATTGTGTACCTTGATTGTCATGTGTCGTTATTGGATTGACATTTGTGACAAAAAGGGTGAGAATATTTTAAGTATTTATAAGAGGAATCGGAGAGATTTACTCTTATCTAGCCTACGTATGTTGCAAATGAACATAGTGAATGGGAGTTTGTTCTAATGCTCAGGGGGAGTACATTGATAAACTTGGCATGAAGTCACATATTTTACACTTATTCTATTTTTTACTTGTGAACATTAACTAACAGGGAGAACTTGATATATTTGACATTACTATATCAATAGGTTTTCAAGCATATGAAGTAAATTAGTTCTTAACATGTTACATATTTGCATTGCACTTGCATGATATATACATACATATGCCATATGTTTAACTTGATGCTTATCATACCTGTGATTATGTTATTTAATTCTCTAACATATGATGTTCTTCACAAGGTTTTAATTTGAGTGGTGATGTGCATGACTATGATCTTCAATGCAACATTTTATGATATAGATCTTATACTAAGATAGAGATTTATGAGGTGTGCGTGAGTGTTGAGATTAGATATATAATTCGTTTTGTTTAATGGTTTGTGGGTTTTAATCTTAATTTCTCATTTGTGTATTTTGTCTTGAAACTGTCAAAGGGGAAGATTGTTAGATATATATTTGTAATTGACTAATTTCATAAAGTCCATAGTAAATCTCAACTTATTCCATACAGATGATGTTATAAAGATTGAAGATCCAAAAACATCATTGAAAGGAGGTGATCAAGTGTCAAAGTTACGTTATTCACACTCTAAATGTATTTTCAAGCTTAGGATAAATGTAATGACCTAGAGACCTAAGATGATCCCTTGATTTAATAGATTTAGAAGGATTATAGTCAAAATAAAATTAGGGATTACTCTGTATATGGTTCATAGGTGTTTTTAAATGAAAAGATTTTCTAAACTGTTTGGTGTTTTGAAAATATAGTTTGAGCCATTAGCAAACCTTGCTTGAGCAATACACTTTAGTGCTCAAGAGGATAAGTTTTTTGCTTGGTATTAGGTTTAAAAAACTAGTAGGGACTACCCTATGCTCGCTGGCATTCGCTAGAGCGGTCTCTTCATGACTTAGGCAAGAAAAGGAAAAAAAGGTCAAATGGAGGAGATCAGGGCTTGCCTTCTGGAGTAGCTTGAGCTGTCCCCATGGTTGCTTGAGCAATCTGCTCTCCTAGGTCGGTTTGAAGCGTGATTTTTATTCCCAAGATCATTGCCCTATGACCCCCTCCCACTAATCGAGCAGTTATTCATGAATTTAAGTTTTCTTATTGACCAAGATTATTTTTATTCGAGACCTAAATAAGGAGTGCCTTTTTTTTTTCCAGCTAAGGTAAGCCTTTAGCAAGCCTTTTGAGAGATAAACTCATATTCTACCTAAAGTGCTTCCACCATAACCCTAGATTCCTAAGAGTCAATGGTACTTTCTAGGGATTCTACCCAAACTTATAACTTAGTGTTGAAGATCTTGAATGATTTGAACCAAACTCATTGGTGTGTGTGTATTCCGAAGATTGTTGTTGTGCCCATGATTGCTCGAGGCCTAGAAGATCCTTTGTAGAGGTGAATCCAAGTGAAGCTACACATAACATTGAATGAGGCCTTTAGGCGAGGATAAAAATTAAACAAAAGGGAACATCTAACCATGATATTGGTTGAGGTATAAGATTCGAGTCATTGTATATTGACTTTAGGGTAGTGGATTAGGTTTTGGTGAACCGAGAAGGTTCCTCATGGTTTTTTTTGAGGAGGGTTTTCCCCATCAACAAATTGCTTGTGTTTATCTTGTTTATTTACATATATACTTGCAATTGTTAACACACACACACACTATATTTTTGATATTTTAAATGCTTGACAAATAAATAATTCATAGTTGCAATTGGGTTTTGGGCACCCCAAGAAAGATTGAGTGTTCAAGTGAATTAATTAAATATTAATCAACATCAATTTTCATAGGTGTAAGGGATCGTGGTGATTAATTGGAGAAGATTTGGGTTTTAATTTGTAATCGGTTGTACTTAAAATAAAAAAATATATTCACCTCCTCTAGGTAGTGTCATGCGTTTCACTTGTATATGCTTCTTGTGGATGAAATTTATCTTTTTACCTTATACTGGCCCTTTGGAGCCATTATAGTTACCTTACCATCTCACTTTTCTCGTTGATGGCCTTTATGAAATATTTGCTAAGTTGCCTTACAGGATTCCCACATAGTGGGATGGTATTTTTTTCAAATCCCTCTCATTTACGGGTTTTCTATGAAATTATCCTTCTAAAGACTTTAACGGGTAAGCTCCACCTTTTAGAATCTTGCCAGTTGTTAAGAATATTTTATCGAATGTGGAATGGATCATCACTCATGATTAAACATGTGAGATTAAGACACCACCTAGAGAGGGTGAATATGTTATTCTAATGTTAAGCTTGGACAAACACAAATTTTAACCTATATCTACTATAATTATATTTTCTCAATTAGTTATGCAATTAAGCATGAGAACCCCTTTTAACAATGAACAACCCAAAAATCATATAGATTGATGTAATGAATTTGCTTATTAAAGATTAACATTCAATCTCACACGGTGATCCCAATCAAGGCAACAACCACCACGAAAACCACTACTGACAAATTGAAAGCTAAACAATCAAACCTTCTCTCATAGTGTGCGTGTGTGCATCAATTACAAGTGTATAAGCAAATTAAGTAATAAATAGAGATAAACAATTATTGACGCAGCAACTCAACTAGGAAAAACTACGAGGAACTACTCAGGGTTCATCAAAATCTAATCCATTATCTTAAAGTTGCTCTATAAGTATTTGAGTCTTATTTCTCAACTAATACTATGGTTAGATGCTCATTTTCTTCAATAGATATCTCTACTAAAAGTCTCTCTTCGATGTTTTGGATAACTTCAC